CTTCACAGTAGTGTTCAGTTACCTTACCGCATGTCACAATAGTGTGTTGTTACTCTTATGACTTATGATCAATTCGCTTAAAATAGTTATGTTTTTAAGTTGTTCACGTACCTTACCGTGTATCCCAAGGGAAACCATATCGGTACACACATGTCTTTGTATCTATAAGTACCAGATCCTCTCTCTGCCACAAAGATGGAACAGAGACACCATTTTTCCATTCGTTTTTTCCAGTCCAAAAATTTAGGTAAATATGTCTCTCTTCAAATGGTCTTTGTCTTCATTGCACTCTATTCTATGATCCTTTCCGATTTTTGTCTCTATCTCTCTGAGTGTATCGGCTAATGTTTTTTTTTTGTCACAAGTATCGGCTAATGTTTTAGTTTACTACTTGTGTTACTAAAACTCATCTTTAAACTTATCACTTCAATTTTTATGATGAGGTTGTTAAAATTTAATCAATGCTTATACAAGCACGAGTTATATGTGTTTGATAAACATGTTATATTAGTTCTTTTATTTTATTACGATTGTGATAAACGTTGACATAATTTGTTTGTTCAGTATTTACGATTATGATAGATACTCTCTTCTAATAGATGNATATTCTCTTTNCTGAATTATTCAATAANTATCTTCTTAAATTATAGTAAGTACTTTTAAATTGTTTTTGATAATTATATTGGCAAATCTAACTTATTTAACCATAGTTTTCAATTCTTATATATAGGATCCCTCAACACAATGAAACAAATCATTCACCATCTAAACCTCTGCAGAGAGACAAATTTGGACAACAATTAGGTTTGATGTTTTTTTCATAGATTCGTTTCTTATCATTTTAATACTATTCTCTTTATTTTTAGTTAAGATGTATTCTTTGTTGCAGGATCCCCATGTTCTAATTTTCTTGACTGAACCATATTAACCCTAACAATATATGAACCCAAAGTATCATCCATCTTTTCCAATATTTATATATTTTTGGTATCGCATGTTCTTTATAGAAGTATGGCATGAATCTAGAATGCTTATTAAATTCTTCATCGATGGCATTGACTTTGTGATTTGTGTGTGTTACTTTCACAATGCGATAACCCTAGCTTCAATAGCTTAAAAAGGTATGGACCCATTTTTAATCATGGCCCGTACACTAAGGTGGGTATCAACCCCATAATTCCAAATAAATATCACACCTAAGTTCTCATTTTGTGACTAGAATTTTGCATCTAATTTTGTGATTTGTATTTTTTGAAGGACTAGTTTTTCTGATGTGTACAAATCAAAAACTCGCGAGCTGTGAGTTCTGTTCTGTGGCCGTGAGGAGGATGTGAAATGTTGATCGTTGTGCGAAAGAGTAAAGATTGATTGGTTGTTATTCTTTTGAGACGAATAACATTGGGTCAGCCGAAGAATTTCAAGGAAAGTCACCGTACTAATTAAAAGATCATTAGTAGACATCTTCTATATTCTATACTCTATACAACCGCGGTCTAATGTGTTGCGTTTTTAACGCATTCTAACACACGTTTTCAATGTTTTATCGAGTTTTTTCTTTGTTTTTGGAGTCTTTGCAGGTTATGATACGTTTGGAATGAGTCTAAGGCAAAATAGAGTAAGGAATGGAAGAAAAGAAGCAAAAGAGCAGAAAAAAG